CTGGGACTCCAGTGATGTATAGATTGTTTCTTTTAATGGTGTCCAATAAGTCCCGTGGCCTTCCCTCATTCTTTTTTCTTTGTTTTTATTTTCTTCTCTGAGGAAATGACTTCAAACGACTTATCTTTGACCTCACTGATTCTCTCTGATGTCGGTTCAGTCTCCTGTTGAAGCTCTCTATGGAACTCTTTAGTTCAGTTTGTATTCTTCATCTCCAAAATTTGTGGGGTCCTTCATGTTTTTTAGAATTTCTTTGTTGGACTTCTCATTTTGCTCTTGTATCATCTATCTGATTTCATTAAATTGTTTACATTCTCTTATAGCTTTCTGAGAATCTTCTGAAAAATTACTTTTAATTTTTTCGCCAAGCAATTCCTGTATCTCCATGTCTTTGCGTTCAGCTACTGGAAGTTTACTGTGTTCCTTTGGGGTGTCATGCTTCCCCAGTTCTCTGTGATTCCTGTGGGCTTGCACAGGTGCCTGTGCATTTGAAGAAGCAGTCGCCTCTTCCAGATTGTATGGACTGACGATGATAAGGAAATACCTTCATCTGCTGAAGGGAGGGGCTGGTGCCGCAGTGCGTTGTGATCCCATATCTAGTAGAGAAAGTGCCATGCACACAGGCACCTGGCAGCTCCATGTCTGGGTGTGTTGTGATGTCTTGTTGGCTCTGGCTGCTGGTGTTCACAGTGCCCATTACTTCAGGGTCACCGGTGATCACTGTTGAGTAGTCTGTAGTGGCTGCCAGGACTGTTGCAGTCCTTAGTGGCACCTCCCATTTTGCAGGAAAAAGTGGTGGACAGAGCCAGCAGTGTGCACACACTTAGCTGCAGGTGCCTCTGTAGTGGCAGGGGCTGGTTACAGACACATATGCATAAATGGTGAGGACCTCGGCTAGCAGCAAGGGCCAGTGGCACCTATGGGCACACTGGCAGCAGCAGGGGCCCTGGTTGTTGGCACGCACTCCTGTGGCTGCAGGGTGTCCCCACCAGTGCACACATGGCAATTCAGGCCAGTGAAGGGAGTCAGCAGGCAGCGTGCACAGCTGCGGGAAGGAGCTACAGGTGAGCCTAGCAATGCAGGCCCTGAACCTAACCCTAACCCCAACCCCAGCCTTACTTAACTCATGACACTAACTGACATATGTGACTGTGATATTTGGCAGCTGTTTAACCTTGGGCATATTTAGTCTCTATGAGTCTCAATATGCTCATCTATAAAATAGAGATAGTGAAACATGTTGCTAAGTTTGTAGGAAAATTAGTGATGGTGTGCATAACTAAATTCAGCCCATTGTTAGAGACCCGGATGATTCCTTTTCTGGCTATGCCAACCCAAGGCAGAGCAAAGGGCTGGGTGTGAGCGAAGCAGAGGGGCATGGGGTAACAGGCCTGTTCAGAGTCCTGTCTGGCTAGAAATCAGTCAAAGATTACCTTTATCTAAGAGTAAGGAGAAAGCAGAATATCTATATCTCCGAAGGAAAACATGGTTAAGGGCAAACAGGATTAAACTATGTAACCCTTGCTGTGTGTTAATTCTAACAGTTTAACGGGTCCTTTCTTCCAAAGGACTTGAATTTTAAACACGTATGTTGATATTTGATGGGGGCACAGTGAATGGTTTCCCTGTAGGTGGGAGGCGAGGGCAATGAAAGGCCAGCAGCTGTGGGAAGGGCAGGAGACCCCCCTGCATGTAAATGGATTCTTGGCTGAGAGCTCAGTTTTCAGGGGGACGTTGATGTCAGCAGATAGATGGAGGTCAGAACGAGACTCAGGAAGAAAGAAAGTACCAGGCGGCAAGGAGCCGCAGCTATTCAATTCATATCTAAATTCCTGCCTGGATGAGAAAAAACAAGAATGAACTTTTTGGAAGAAGGTATTTGTTAATATACCTTAAATCCTGTTGCAAAGGGAGTGCTGAGGGTAAACGTCACCTGGAAGGGAAACAGCAGAATCAGACTATGACAACCTTGGCAGATCAAAGGTATCATTATTATTGTTTTTATCACACCCATCCGGGCTGCAATATCCTTTTACTCTCAGAAAGGGTTGAGTAATAGGCTTTCTTCACAGCAACTGAAATTCACCTCCGACCAGGATAACTGATTCCAGAAGTTGGAAGTTGACTCATGTACTAAACCACCAAGCAGAATTAAATAACAATTAGTTTCATTTGTTTGTCTAGTCACCAAGACTACTTACCCAGCAGGCTGCATGTATGAAGTACCTGGATATTTTCTCCTGCAGGAACTCATGGTGCAGACACAAGTGAGAGAGAAGGCCTGCCTGCGGGGCTGCCGGGCTGGAGGAGGGTGACGAAGAATCAACAGAACCATCAGTGTGGTCAGGACCTGAGCTCTGGGCTGCCCTGTGGCAGAGGTCACCCTGGCTTCTCCTGGGCCACTGCTGCAGGGACCTGCTGCAGGGACTATGGCTGGGCAGGGTGCTGCGGCTGCCTGCCTGCTGCTGTCCATGGGGCCTTCCTGCCTGTTTCTCTGCTAAAGCCTCCAGGACAGCTCCCTTCCAGGCCTCGGCAGCATCCACCAGAGAAGCCACACGGAGGATTTCTCTCTTGTCATCTTCAGCATTGACACCAACTGGGTGATACTACTAACACTCCGTTGCCACAGACGCAGCCTCTCCCGATTCCTCAACAAGGTTTATGTGGTCTCTGTCCTGGTCGTGGCAGAAAGCGAAAATAGGGAACAAAACCAAAAACCAAAACAGCCTTCTGCTTCTTACCTCCAAGAGGGGAGAAAGCTAGGGACTACTAATGGTCATTTCCCAGGGTGCTCCGAGTTGAGGCGGGACAGTGGCGAGCAGGAGGGAGCCGGTCCACGGGGTCCTTCCTAAATTGCAGGCCCACAGGATCTGTGAGCATAACAAAAGGGCTGTTTTAAATCCCTAAGTTTCCAGGAAATTTGTTAAGCAGCTGTAGTAACTGGATAAGCAATCATTCGTCCACTCAAATACGTTTTATTGGAGAAAAGTAGGCATTGCACAGTGAGGCACAAGTCTTTGGCCTGGCAGCTAAATTTTATATCCCACAGTCTTTCAACAAATTCGGCCATTTTTCCACATGTGGTAGATGCGTTCAAGGAAAAACAATTGCACTGGGTGTCAGAGTACTCACCGCACAATAAGACGTCCCTAACTCGTGTGTATGAAACTTCATCTTTCTCCTTGATCACCTTTTTTATAACTTGTATGTTTTTATTAATTGTGGTAAAAACTCATCATAATAGTTTTCATCTTAACTATTTTAAGTGTACAGTTTAGTACTTCTAAGTATATTTGCATTGTTTACTTTTTTAAGGTAACTTAATTTTTTACTGTAAATTTTATTCTTTATGCTTTTACAGTTGTTCCAAGTTTGCCCTCTTTGCCCCCCTTCACTGAGCCCCCTCCACTCCCTCAGGCAATCCCCACACCTTGTCTACATCTCTGGGTCCCACAAACCTGTTCCTCTGACTAAGCCCTTCACTTTCCTCCAACCAGCCCCCCCACCACTCCCCTTACAGCTGTCAGTCTGTCCAATGTTTCTGTACCCCTGGTTCTGTCTGGTCTCTTTTCAGTCTGGTCTGTGCCTCGTGACAACACCTCTTCCATGCACGTGACCTTTGTCAGAATGTGAGACCACCCTTTCTGCCCCAGAGCACAGAGGGGGCCAGACATTTCTGCCAGGTAGCAGCAGAGCTGAACAAGGCCAATCTCATAAGATAAGGGAGAGAGCAAGCTGTCATATACTGAAATGCACCCTCATCCTTCCCTCCCACACAGGCCAGGTCTCCTGCCCACCTCCTCAAAGGCCCTCCTCCCTGAGCAGTACCTCCCACCTGTTCCATCAGTGCAGGAAGTTCCCACCATCCAAAGTACCTCATTCTTTAACTAACATCCCTCCATTCTAGCCACTGCTCTTCTCTTAAATGGACTGCTAACCAAATTAGAGGTTCAGGATAAAAAAAAAAAGATACCTTTTGAGCAAAAGGATTCCAAGCCAAGAGAGGCAAATTCAGGCAGCAACCCAAACTGTACTCCAGAGAGAGGAAAGAAAGACAGGGTTTACGAAGGCAAAGAGTGTAATTCTTTCATGCAAATGAAGGATTGCTGACTAGGTCACCAGGAACTGATCAGCTCCAATATGCACATTGGGAGGCACAAACTACAGGGACAAAGTCAGGTCCACATGTGTCCATACAGCAGTTGTTGCAGGATGATTATGGCTCAGCCTTGACCTGAGTTCAGCAGCATGTTAGCAGCTCTGAGAACTGAGGCACATTACACTAACTGAAATAAGCCAGGCAAAGAAAGACAAATACCATATGATTCCACTCACTTGTGGACTCTAGTGAACAAACTGAACTAACAAGCAAAGTAGAGAGAGACTCATGGATAGAGCAGGCTGACAGCTATGGGGTAGGGGTGGGGTGGAGGGATTGAGAAATACAGACAAAGGACTCATGGATGTGGACAACCGTGTGGTGATTACAGGAGGCAGGAGGTGGTTAGAGGCCAAATGGCAATGGGAGAAATCTTCTGACTTTATTTTATTTAAAAAATAAATAAAAGCTACTTCCACCAAGATGGAGGCGTAGGTGGAAACATTGTGTCTTCTCGCACAACCAAGTTTAAAAACAACAAAGTTGTAGCAACAAAAACACAGACAAACCACAGAAAATTGAACTATACGGAAGTCTGACAACAACGACCCATTCAGCCAAACTGGTAAGAGGGGCAGAGCTAGCAGCAGAGTGGGGTCGGGCAGGAAAAATCCACCAGACCAACCCAGGTGCATGACCCAGGCACGTAGGCAGCGGTGGGCATCTCTCAGGTGTGGAGTAACAGTGGGCGGACTCACTGCGGGTACATGGGGGCAGGCTGACCATGGTCACACATTCGCATGCAGATAACCAGCGAAGGAGCGAGCAGTGAGACGAACAGAGCAGGCCCCAGCTGGGGAAGCAGCAGAGGAGGCTGCCATTGTCCCTCCCTGACCCCACCCCCACAAATAGAATCACAAAACAGTGACCTGGGTGGCCCCGCCCTGGTGAACACCCAGGGCTCTACTGCTCATACGTAACAGGCTCAAACAGCAAAACATTATGGCTCAAGAAGAACTCAAGCCCCAGAGCCCATAACTCTAAGCAACAAAAAAATAGCCAAACTTTCAGATGCACAGTTCAAAACACTGGTGATCAGGATGCTCACAGAACTGGCTGATTTTAGTCACAAATTAGAGGAACATATGAAGGCTAAACTAATTGAAATGAAGAGAAATGCACAGGAAACCAATAGTAATGAAAAGGAAACTGGGACTAAAATCAATGAAGTGGACCAGAAGGAAGAAAAAAATGACCAAACAGAAAAGGACGAAGAAACAAGAATTCAAAAAAATGAGCAGAGGCTTCGGAACCTCCAGGACATCTTTAAACGTTCCAACATCTAAATTATAGGGGTACCAGAAAGGGAAGAGGAAGAGCAACAAATGGAAAACTTATTTGAACAAATAATAAAGCAGAATTTCCCCAATCTGGCAAAGGCAACAGACTTCCAGGAAATCCAGGAAGCTCAGAGAGTCCCAAAGAAGTTGGACCCAAGGAGGAACACACCAAGGCACATCATCATTACATTAGCCAAGATTAAAATGAAGGAGAGAATCCTAGAAGCAGCAAGAGATAAGGGGACAGTCACCTACAAAGGACTTCCCATCAGACTGTCAGCTGATTTCTCAAAAGAGACCTTATAGGCAAGAAGGGGCTGGAAAGAAGTATTCCAGGTAATGAAATCCAAAGACCTACAAATAGATTGCTCTATCCCTCAAAGCTTTCATTTAGAATGGAAGGGCAGATAAAGTGCTTCTCAGATAAGATCAAATTCAAGGAGTTCATCATCACCAAGCCCTTATTATATAAAGTGTTAAAGGAACTTATCTAAGAAAAAGAAGATAAAAAATATGAACAGTGAAAGGATAGCAAACTCACAATTATTAACAACCACACCTAAAACAAAAGCAAACTAAGAGGACAGCTAGATCAGGAGTGAAACCATAGAAATGAAGATCACATGGAGGGTTAGCAACAGGAGAGTGGGAGGAGAAGGGGGGAGAAGGTACAGAAAATAAGTAGCATAGATGATAGGTAGAAAATAGATGGGGGAGGGCAAGAATAGTAGGGGAAATATAGAATCTAAAGAACTTGAGACACGTGGTCATAAACTAAAGGGGGGAAATAGTGGGGGAGGGGTGTGCAGGGTGGAGGGGAATGAAGGGGAGGAAATAGGAGAAATGTAATGGCGTAATCAATACATATATTAAAAACATAAAAGAAAAAATAAAAGCTGTGCAGAGGCTGCACAGGCCCTACTTCTTTAACAGCCTTCTGACTCTATTTTAAGTGCCTCTCTTAGCAATGCTTATTTTATTTTATTTTATTTTATTATTGTCATTATTTATCGCAAGTAAAGAGGGAAAGTAATGTAAGAACAAGCCTGTGGTTGAAATTATGGCCCTGTTTCCAGGATTCACAAAGAGGAACTAGGAGGTACAGAGAAGCAAAGAATCCAGTTCAGAAGCACAGAGCCACAGTAGATTTGGGCCATCCGATACCGTATTCATATTTAACCGAGGGGAAAGCAGGCAGATTTAGGACCAGATTTGAGCTGGGGAAATAAAGCAAAATGGAAGAACTTTCATCAAATGCTGACTCAATATCAAAAACATTACCGACATCATTCATTCCTCCATGTAATAAATATTTATTGAGAATCTACTCTAGGTCTGGCATTGAACTGTATAAGTATTATCCCCATGTCACCTGTGAGGGATCGGAGCCACAGGTTGATCAAGTAATCCACCCAGTTCCACAGGATTTGAACTCAGATCTCTACACCTTGAACCTCACTCTTTTTCTCTCAGGACAAGTGTGGGGGGAAGTAAAAGGAAAGAACTGGGAGATGAGAAAGAGGATGTGAGGAAGCCCCTAGAGTCCTGACTCTGCCAAACAGATACTGACTGACTGACATTGTATTCACCAACAATGTTTTCACATGCGTTTTAGACATCAGGTTTTTATAGGTAATATTTTAAAATTTATAATGATAACTTTAGACAACATGACTTAATACTGGAATTTGAAAAATTCTCAATGCCAGCATTTCTATAGGAAGGAAGATGCTGCCCACAGAACTTGGTTGCATAAAGAACCATGTAGGAAACCATTAGCTGTGTCACTCTCCTGGTGCTTAACCACACGCTACTGTCTGCTGGGTGAAGCCTCGTCTGGAGAACTACTGGGGAGCAATGTCATGTCTCATTCTCTCTGTACAATTCTAACCCTGCATTGTACATGCGAGCTTTTTGTAAAAACTGGTATTGGATGTTGGACACATGCTGGTTGAATTTAATAAAAACTATTTTCTCAGTTGTCCATTTCCTGAGCCATGGGTAAACATTTTTTTATGAATTCAACATTCAACCAGTGTGGAAGTTATTCTAGCAAAAACGGCAATTTTCTTGCAAGAAAACCATAGGCCATCCTTCAAATACCTTTACTATTATTAATTTTGAAAAGATGTGTGGTTCTGTGTTCTTTGAAATGTTGTCTAACTACAAATCACAGAACACCTCTTAAATACAGCAGCGGATTTCAGACTTCATACATTGATCACCAGTAAATTTGTCTCTGAAACTGACCTACAAGTCATGGAAAGAGTTGTTCTCAGAGGAAAAAAGTGATCTAAATACACAGGCTGCTTTTTTAAAGGTTGAAATGATTTAATATGTAGAATTTGCTTTAATATCTCATAGGGTCATTGAGAAAATATGAGAGATAGGTTTACCAGTGGAAAGTTGGTACAATCGGTCATCATAGAGGTTAATTATTTTATTCTCTCTACTTTTATATATAGTTGATTTCTATAATAAGTTTCACTATATAATACCCAATACTGAAGATCATCTCTACTGCTTACTCTAAATGGTGAAAAATTTATCACCATGTTTGGGCACAAGATTTCCCTCCAAGGAAATATTAAATATATTTTTCAGCTCTTCTCCTATTTCTTCTTCATTCAGTGTCTTAAACTCCACCAAATCCACATTGTCCTTATAATTGAATTTTCTAGAGGTAAGGGTGAAGCCCACTAAACAGTGAACCCCCTCTGGGGTCTGCAAGGAACAAAGCGACTTGCTTGTAAACACAGACGCTGGAGACGTCTGAAGGTATTCATTCACAGACTCAAAATCTTCAATTGTTCGAGGCTCAAGAGTAAAGGAGTAGAGCTTTTGGTACTTCTTTTCCAGGAGATCAGAATTAAGAAATTCTTGATTTGGAATGTACTGCTCTCTTCTGATTTGGTCCAGGAACCAGGTTCCTCTCTCTTCGGTCAAGCGAAAGATGCAAGGCACCTGAGGCTGATCCTTCCCGGAAATTAGTTCCAGAGGTTGCCACATCTGGTAAGAGCGTCCAAACCCAGCATCAACTATGTAGTGTCTGCCATCCACAGTGACCTTCAGCAGAAGGTGAATCATAGCACTGCTATACTTGTTGTCTGGAGGGTTGTACACGTAGCCTCCCAGCATCGTGGTCTGGAAACCCATGGTGGTCAGAGCCCAGTACAGAAGGTGATTGACCTGGAGGCACCACCCACCCCGCTTCCTCCTCACCACTTGATCAAAAGTGGCCTCCAAGCCCAGTTCCATGGGCTTCCCACAATGGATGTTAAGGTTCTCGAAGGGAATGGCCCAGATCTTGTGCTGAAGAATGTCAGTTAATGTTTCCAGGTCCAATTTGCTCCTGGACTTCTTATAACCAATTCTTTCAAAATATGCTTCAATGTCCATGATCACCTAAGGCAAGGAAAATAAAGCAAGAGCACATCCTGTTACCTTTGCACTTGGATTTCTAATTATAATTCATGTATTTTAAATATCTAAATACAAGCAGTGGTGATGAATATCTGCAACGTAGGTCTTTTGATTACTACTTTCATTGTATTAATTGCTTTCACAAGCTTAAGTTCACTTAATAATCTCAGTAACCCTGTACGAAAAGTATTATCACTTGTTCCATGTATTAAACATGAGAAGTTGTAAATCCAGATTAAATGATGAACAAAATGACAAACAGTTTATTCGTGGTTTTGTTAGGAATAAATTAAAAGAGGTTCAATTTGGTGTCAATTAAAATAGGGTTTACACCCTGGCTGGTGTGGCTCAGTGGGTTGAATGCCATTCTGTGAACCAAAGAGTTTCTGGTTTAATTCCCAGTCGAGGCATATGCCTGTGTTGCAGCCAAGGTCCCCAGTAGTGGGCGCTCAAGAGGCAACCTTCTATTGGTGTTTTTCTTTCTCTGTTCTTTCTACCTTGCCCTCTCTAAAAATAAATAAATATAGGGTTTACAAATAGTTCTACTGTAAACAGGAGAAATATAGAGTACATTGTATTCTGGGTACCTGACCCACTCAATTTCACCTTTAGCTGAACCCACTCAAAGTTCCACACTCAAAAATTTATGTTCCTCCCCACTTGGATTTATTGATTCACTCAATATAAAGTTTATGAAACTTTTCATAAGTTTCAGAAGGGGCCTCAGAAGCAAGCAACCAGATGGCCAGCTGCCATGGAATCAGCAAAGAAGGGTGAGCCTTGTTCTGTGCCCCCATGTATTGCTACAAGATTTACCAAACACAGCAAGGACCAGTGTGCCATGGTAGCAGCTGTTCTTCCTTCAGGTATGAAACATAATTGGGGATATTGGAGCAAAATAAATAAATAAAGCACAATGTTCTTTGTGTACGGTGTCACCAGAAAGGAAGAACCATCCATATGGGGAAGATTGGCCATCAAAGTGTCTCCTGTTATATTCATCTCCTTTCATCTCCACTGGGAGAGTAAGGAGTCCAGGCCCCACTCTAGACAAACACCTCTGCAGTCATATTAGGTTCAAGAAACAAGGAAAAGGTGGAGACAAAACTAGACACGCATGAATATAATGAAAACAGAGGATGCAAATATACTATGAGAGTGGAAATTAAAGGACATAATATTCAAAAGAGAGACAAAAATAGATGACCAGCTCAAGAAGAAAAATAAACTGAGCCATGAAAAGAAATTCTTCACAGGTACTTGGAGCAAAAGAACATTTAAAATGAATTCATAATAAAGAGCCAAAAAATGAAGTGATAAAATAATAATAATAAAATGATGCAGCTTTATTACTTTATCTTAGACCTTAGAAAACTAAAAACAAAAACAAAGCTAATACATAATTAATTATAAACAGATAAAGACAATACAGATGCAGCATAATATCAAATTACATATGTAGAAGAAAAACTTGATACTCACAGTAAATGTCAATGAAAAGATAAAGCCATTAAACAATTAGAAAGAAGCCAACAGAAAAACAACTGGTGCTTCTGAAGAAAAAAACTCAAAAAGCACAATAGAAAATGTATATAAAAATAACAAAAACATTTTCCTGAACTGAAGTTAAGTCTAAATTAGAGGTTCGGGCTTAAAAAAAAAAAAGACACTTATTTGAGCAAAAGGATTCCAAGCCAAGAGATGCAAATTCACTTCTCTCTGGAGTACAGCAACCCAAACTGTACTCCAGAGAAGAAAGGAAGACAGACAGGATTTATAAAGGCAAAGAGCGTAATTCTTTCTGTTTGTCATGATGAACAAAATGACAAATAGTTTATATGCGGTTTTGTTAGTAATAAGTTAAAAGAGGTTCAATGTGATGTCAATTAAAATAGGGTTTACACCCTGGCTGGTGTGGCTCAGTGGATTGAGTGCAAAGTTAAGTCTAAAAAACAGCAAGATTCTGGAAAAGTGCGATTCAATACTGGCATATATTCCAGTTAAATTACTGAAATTCAAAATGGAAGGAAACTACCCAGGTATTTGGCAGAAAAGCAAACAATTCATAAGGGAGACACTATCAAGCAGGCATCAGAACACTCCACAATAATCTGTGTACTAAGTTAAGAGGGGAGTCTGATCTTCACATACTATCCTCAGTGAGTATTTCATTTAATCACAAAGGCATCCTAAATATAAAGGCAATCTCAAATGTGACAGAACTTGAGGAATGCATAAACAGTGAGCTACCCTGATAGTGTTACCTCCTAAGTGGCCAGTAAAGATGTAAATTAAAATGAAAAAAAGATGAGAGAGGCCGCAATAAAGGGTTCATGGTCAACATTGACTCCTTTTATTATAGAACAAAGACTAGAAAATGTATGAGAATAACAAGTAAAGTCTTAAAAAACATTTAAAAAGTCTGACTCAGATTAAACCCATTAGACCAGTGGGCCTCCACCCTAAGAACAGAGTGGGAAGGAACAGAGCGTGCTCAGTGTGCCTAGGGAGGGCACGTGCATTGTCGAGGATTTAGGACCAAGGATACTGTGGGGAGACCGCTGTCGGTACCACCCATATCCCTTCAGATGTCTTTTACCATTTCACCGTGACCCTGGCCTGGCCTCTATGTCCTTATGCTTAAGGACATACACCCTAGACTCTTTTTGGAGGACCCCCTGAGGGCTCCTGGAGCTGCTTTGCCTTCCTCTGCAGAGAGCTGGACAAGCTAGGGAACGCATTTCCTTCCGGGAAGGAAGGAATTACTGTCCTCTGGAATTACTGTCACACGTACCCCACTGAGTCCCAGGGCCCCCCACGGCCCCCACGCCACACAAACATTCACCCATGGGGGTGAGCTGGCAAGCCAGCTCTCCAGCACTTTTTTCTAACTCTAATTTGTAGCTGCTGATTTCTGTAAATAATCCCAACATGGTCAGCTTTGAGTCAATGAATGACTCATACGAGTTTGGAAGTCCAGCTGCCAGGCCTGGAGTCTGGACACACTTGGAGTTAGAAGTCATAACCAGGCTGAACTGGGCATCTCCCAGGGGCACTTCCTGCGTAAGCCACTTGCACATGGACCTGGATCTGTGTCTCAGGGCTTGATTCTGGGAACCTGACTTCAGTGAGACCTATCGGTGGTCCTCTAAGATCTGTGTGAACAGATGTAAGGAGAGATACACGGAAAACTTCCAGAGGGACTGGAATGTTGGATGAAAGAGGCCTGCTTTTTCCTGTAGATCATCTGACAGATCCTTGGTATGTTCTTGAATGGTCAATATTCAACTGTTGAACCGACTGCTGCAATTTGTCCTTACCAGCATGGTACTCCAATTCAAATTAGGTTTTTGGAGGAACCCTTGGAGAACAGATTGATATGCCAAATTCATTGATCAGCTCCCAGTCCTCCAGGTTGTCTACATCCTTCATGGACAATGCTGGTTTCCATTTTTTCCCCTAAGTAAACACCTAGTGTTTCCCCAAATGAAAATGTGGGCAAGAGCCTAAAATAAACCAATTAAAAGCAAATTGAGGGGACTTCCGCCAAGATGGAGGCATAGGTGGATATGCCATGCCTTCTCACACAACCAAGTTTAGAGACAATTAAATATTAGCAACAGAAAACACAGCCAGAACACAGAAAATTGAACTTTTCGGAAGTCTGTTAACAACAAATTCTTCAGCCTGACCGGTAAGGGGCGAAACCAGCAGCTGGTGGAGCGGGGTTGCACAGGAAAACTCGGTCAGACGGACTCAGGCGCGCGGAACCCAGGTGCAGGGTTGGACCTAGTCAATGACCGAGTGAGCGACTAAGCGAGCAACCACAGGGAAACAGCGAGGGAGCAGGGCTGCAGGTTGACTGTGGTCGCGCATTCGTGCTCAGATAGACAAGCGAGGGAGTGGGCGATTGGACCGGGACCCAGCCGATCCAGAGGAAAGCGGCAGGGAGGGCATGGCCATTTCCCTGCTCTGACCCCACCTCCACATACAGCGTCATAACCCAGCGACTCTGAGTGGCCCGGCCCTGGTGAACCACCTAAGGTTCTGCTCCTCACCCAGCGGCAAGAAACAGCAGAGGGTGCCACCATTTTCCCGCTCTGACCATGCCCCCACATACAGTCACAACCCAGCGCCCTGGGAGTCCAAGGCTCCGCTCCTCACGCTTTAAGGGTGCGAACAGACCAAAAATGGCTCAAGAAGATCTCAAAGCCCCAGAACCTATAAATCTAAGCAATGAAGAAATAGCAAAACTCTCAGACGCACAGTTTAAAACACTGGTCATCAGGATCCTCACAGAACTGGTTGACTATAGCCACAAATTAGACAAATACATGACGGCGAAACTAATTGAAATGAATGGAATTGCATAGGAAACCAATAGCAATGAAAAGGAAACTGGGCCTCAAATCAATGGAGTGGACCAGAAGAAAGCAAATAATGGCCAAACAGAAAAGAGTCAAGAAGCAAGAATTCAAAGAAATGAGGAGAGTCTTAGGAACCTCCAGGACATCTTTAAACGCTCCAACATCCAAATTATAGAGGTACCAGAAGGGGGAAAGGCACAGCCACCAGTGGAAAACTTATTTGAACAAATAATAAAGGAGAACTTCCCCAATCTGGCAAAGGAAATAGACTTCCAGGAAATCCAGGAAGCTCAGAGAGTCCCAAAGAAGTTGGACCCAAGAAGGAACACACCAAGGCACATCATCATTACATTAGCCAAAATTAAAATGAAGGACAGAATCCTAGAAGCAGCAAGAGCTAAGGGGACAGTCACCTACAAAGGAGTCCCCATCAGACTGTCATCTGATTTCTCAAAAGAGACCTTACAGGCAAGAAGGGGCTGGAAAGAGGTATTCCAAGTCATGAAATCCAAAGGCCTACAACCAAGATTGCTCTATCCAGCAAAACTTTCATTTAGAATGGAAGGACAGATAAAGTGCTTCTCAGATAAGATCAAATTCAAGGAGTTCATCATC